TCCCAAACGACGATGACGACTCTTCCGCCGCCCTCTCCACCCCCGCCATCGTCGGCATCGGCGTGGGCGGTGCCGTCGCCCTCATCCTCGTTGTCTCGCTCATCGTCTTTTTCGTCGTCCGCGGCCGCGGAGGCCCAGACAACTCGTACTACCAATTCACAGATCCGGACAACCACCCGCCGCCGACGGCGGGCTCCCATCCCACCGCATCGGGGTCCGCGGGCCAGGGCGCAGTCTTCGCCATGCCCGCCACGGGCAACCCGCCACCGCCGCCGCCGCCGCCGCACGGTGACGTCCCCGCCGAACCGGCACCCGCTGCCTCCGCCGCCACCGCTGCCATTGGCACCCCCGCTGTCGCAGGTCCTGACGACAGGCCCGAGCGGGCCTATGGCGCTCCTGTGGCCACTCCCACTGCTCCGTCCGCGTCCCAATTTGCGAGGCGCGATTCCGACGCCTCTTCCGCGAGCAGTGACACTATTGTCGCCCCGCTCTACAGGAATGGCTTCACTGCTTCGACCGTCCCTGGTGCCAGCGCCAACGCCCCCTGGTTTCACGAAGGGCGACTCGTCTCGCCGCCGCCGCAACGCTGAGATGTGCCGCATCTGTTTCGTGTGCCTGCATGCGTCGCCGATGTTTTATGTATTTTGACTCTTGCATATATTTAATTGCTTTCTCGCGGAAGGGGAATCTTGGCTGGGCTCCAGTTTATGATGCCCGTTGGCCCGTTGCATCATGACCGTTTACCGCCTTAGAGAAGGATCGAAAAATCAGAGCTTGTAGTTACAAGCTGCCATCACCGCCGCGCTCCAGTAGCCTACTCTCGCCCTTTCGTATCGCTGCCGGTTGGACTTCGACTGCCTTTTCGTGCGTGCGCAATTGGTGATTCGCCTCATCTTTTGATGATTGTTGTGTATGAGAATTAGACCCGTTTTTCGTCATGCGGCTCCAATTTCTCCCGTTGTAAAGTGTCCCCGGGCCCGCTCTGTTACACGCAATACTCGTGACCGTATCACGTTCTAGCACTCGCTGGGAACAGGGAGTTTTGTTTGCACTTCCTTTGAGATTGGTGCATCTTTTTTCGCTTGTATTTTGTTTATTATAAAAATAAAGCATCTAACGCACGGGGCTTTTTGTTATTTTCGTTTGTGCTTTTCGAGGCAAGCGAAGGATGAGCGATAAACAATGAAAGCAAAAAGAGAGGCCGGTCGCCTGTCGAGGAAGAATATTCTTACGAAGCAGGAGAGCGAAAGAAAATTGCAAGCAGTTTCGGACAACTGAATATCTTCCGTCATCCAACAGAGCATTCTCTGTACGCATTGCAAGTATTGGGACACAAAACCTACTTTTAAGGAAAGCCATGAAGGGAAAAGACATCATGCAGTGGGTGTTTAGCCGGACAAAGAGCTTGGCAGGCTCGCAAGGAGTAGCCCGCGCAAACTCGTCGCAGGGAGCGCCTCAACGCAGCAGAATGGACATCGATGCCATTTGCTCACCGATGCCAGACGAACGGGTTCCTCAAAAAGAATCGTTTAATGCGCGAGGTACCACTTTTCGGATAGACACTCGCTTCTCGTTTATTAAAGTCCTGGGTCTCGGTGCATATGGAGTCGTGTGTGCAGCAAAGGATGAACAGAATAACATAAAGGTTGCCGTCAAGAAAGTGGCCGGGGTGTTTGAGGACCTCACCGATGCGAAGAGAATTATTCGCGAGGTGAGATTAATGCATGCGCTGAGGCATCCAAACATACTCCAGATACTTGACATCGATGAGCCGGAAAGCTATGAGGGTTTCGAAGATGTTTACATTGTAACGGAGCTCATGGACACGGACTTACACAAAGTGCTACGATCGAAGCATGCCCTTCTTGACGACCACAAAAAATTCTTTACGTATCAGATTTTTCGAGCAATGAAGTATCTGCACAGGTGGGTTTCAAGCACTCTTCTGCATTACAGGCAGCATGGTTCTCACCAATCCCGCGCTCACGCGACGGGGATCCCAGCTGTGGAAGATGCAGAACTAACGTCTTCCCATTCGCGTTTCCTGTTTGTGTGTGAGTTTCGTTTGTGATTACAGTGCGAACATACTTCATAGAGATCTGAAACCAGCCAACATTTTGGTCGCTGAGACTGTACGTTGTCTCCAGCAATGAGGCTGAAAGTCCCCCTTTCTTAAACGGAGACGAACATGATGTCTAACTTTTTTTCTTCGCTACATGTGCCAACTTGTTGGTCACTCTCTTTTCTCCCGTTTCGTTAACCCATCAATGACAGTGTGACATCAAGATATGCGACTTTGGACTGGCCAGATACATAGGAGCTCCGGACGAGTCGAAGAATGAGATGACAGAATATGTCGTGACGCGGTGGTATAGAGCACCTGAGCTGCTACTGGCTGCTGCAGAGTATACAGCGGCAATCGACATGTGGAGTATAGGGTGCCTCATCGCCGAGCTTTACTGTCGTCGACCAATATTCCCAGGCAGCGACGTCAAGAACCAAATTCAAGTCATTTGCTCGCTTCTAGGAAAGCCAACCGACGAAGAAATCAAGGGCATCAAGAATCTGCGGGCACGAGACTTCGTGTCGAAAATACCTGCCTCTCCACGAAAGAGCATGAGTGCGCTAATGCCAGAATCATGCCCCGCAGCACAGGACCTGGTCGACCGACTGCTGCAGTTTGACCCTGAGAAAAGGCTGTCAGCCGAAGAAGCGCTAGCGCATCCGTATGTGGCCGAATACAGAGACCCAGATTCGGAGACAACGGCTACGACTCAACAGAATGTTTTAGAACCGCCGAGCGAGAAGGACTTGGGCAAGCATGGTATACGACGACTGATGTGGGATGAAATCTTAAAGTTCCATCCAGAAGCTCGGGCGAGGGAGCCCCCATTAGCTGTTTACGCTGATGGCATTGTGAAGAGGGTTGAGAGCAGTAGGTATTAAGATTAGAGAGAGTAGGTATGTGTTTGTTTGTGGGTACAGGAAAACAAATCCTGCAGACGGCCCTGAGAGAACGTTGAGACCAGACGCGCAGACGCTACCTAAAGTCATTTTTGTGTTCTTTGATACTCGCCTTGGGGTAGAGAGCATCGCTCGTTCGTTTTCATCGTTGAAATTGCAAGCAATGATGAGGATTAGGTATGACGTCACTGTTAAAAAGACAGTACAAAGGACTATGACCGAGCAGCTTGTTCTCAACGCGGAGAGAAACGCGCAACGATGAGTTGGCGAAAGGGGCGTAGAAGAAGGTGCATGTATGGGCGAGAAAGACGTATGTAAGTGCTGTGACGGTAGCGCAAGCGCGAAGAGGTGAAGAACATGCCTATGAAAGGGGTTCCTGGAGAGAAAATACGAGCACAGGTAAGTCGAAGGCAGTGTGTGGGAATGACTGACGGTCAGACATGGACGGTCCTCTGATGGGACAGGACAAGGGAGTATGTAAGGGCCAGATGTGGTGTGCGAATATATTCCACGCCCGACGAGGACACGGATGCAGAGGGTGACACAAACGAGACTGAGGAACGGTGTAGACGAGGATATAGCGATGCGAGTGCAGATACACGTTTGTGGCGAGGCAGTTGTAAGGTGTGGGGATGTTATAAAACGGGTCGGGGTGACAGTGTACGGCGGAAGTGTAATTGAATTTTATGCCGACGCGATATAAAACTCGGTAGGCTCGTGGTGAAGGAAAGTGACTCATCGGATGCGGGAAGTGGTGTGTATGCAAACTATGCGCGTCCACGAAGGCCCTACGGGAACAAGACTGGGAGAAGTGGAAGCGTGGGATGACACGAGCAGAATGCTGAATGACACTGGGGACACGTGCACGGCGGAGGTGCGCGTGGGACGCGGTCCTCTTAGGAGGTTTTGAGGGAGAAAGTTACGGCTGTGTGGTGCCCTTTGAGTGCCGCCCACTTCGGCGACATACGCTCGAGCAATATATGAGTAGAAAAAAAACTTGAGATTCTCATTTCTGATCTTGCCTGCGCGTTTTTTTTTACGGAAACGCCCACGTGACAAAAAGCATCCTCCAGGAGTTGTACACGTGTCGAGTGTCCCGCGATACTGTGGTGTCAGCCCCAGGCGGTGCCCGTTGGCAAAGCAACTTGTGAAAACCTTCTTTGTTAGATCTACGGTTTGTCAGCTTGCCCCTTTGCGTCTACCAACCACACCATTGTACGATCTGGAATACAGCCTGTAATGTACACGCAGGGAAATCCAATCACTCATCACATATATCAATCTTCCATGTTGCATCCCAAAGAGCGTCCCAAAGTCAAGTCAACATCAACCGACCGGATCAAAGACATTGCCCTTCCTCATCCTCAGATTTTAATCTCGCTATTTCCTCAGCATCCCTTTGCTTTCTCACATAATCACTATCTTTTTGCATGCCAAACATGCCTTCAACGTCTAGAATCTAAGAGTTGCAGCTCGTAAACAACCACCAGAAACCACCTTTTTCACCCTCAACTCACTTCAGTTTTCCTCGTTGTGCGTTTCCAATACCTCAATCCTATCCCTTGGCATTCGATGAACAAGTTTCATCTTCACGGTGCATCGTAGAGTCCGCAAGCAATCGTTCGAAACCACAAAAGAGAGAGTAAACAAAATGGTCAGCCCGCAAAGTATTTCACAAGCTGTAAAATAAAAAAAATAGAACACTCCACAATAAAAACTCACGTGTTTCACACAGTTAGACTTGCGGGCGAACTTGCGAAAGCAAACAGAACACAGAAAAGGTCGAACCTTCTCATGCACATTACTAATGTGAGTTAGGAGGTTGCAACGCTTCTTAAAACGCAGCGGACAGATTGAACAAGAATAAGGTTTTTCACATCTTCCACTCGGCGTAGGATTCGTGCTTCCCGACACTTCCGTTTCATTAGATGGTCCCAAAACAGTCTCCCAATAGTCTCGAGGTCTCGATGCCTGAGCTGGCGACACCGAAGAGCTCTGTGGATCGCTAGGCCTTGGGAGGACTGGGCTATGGCTTGACCCCTCGATTGTGTTTCCAGGGAACGCGTGATTGTTTTCTTCGGTCCACCTGTTTCTTGACGGCGGCGAATGGCGGTGCCTCTCTGTTGATGTACGACCACCCGAACTACTAGTCGGAGATCGCGAGCCTTTACGAGGAGTGCTGTTTCCTGAGTCCCTGTGAGATTTCATGTCGAAGACGGGCAGCTGCGGAAGCAGTAAAAGTACTTCCTCGCGCTCTTGTTCGTGCCGGTCTTTTTCGTTGGACATCAAATTCGTCGACAACGATAGGAGTTGATTGCGTTGCGTGTGAACGGGCGGAATATTCAGGATAAACGGGGCTTGTTTTCATGAACGGCTCTGCGCAACTTCCATGGACGATATCTTCAGACAAGATTTATCTGCAGCTGCGAGCCAGCAGGAGTGCGCCGCTGCTTTATCCTATATTAAGCAGCGGAGAGGAGAAACTAGGAATGTCAATGCAGGGAAAGCGAGAGAGTACATGTCAATTGTTGATCCCTACTCCCAGAAATTAGCTTATAGAGCGTCATCGAGGACAGTGGCGAAGAACAAAAAAGAAATATTGACATATTAAGAAGAAGACCTCTTCTTAAAAAAAACAAGGCAAAATGCGCAGATGAGATGCTTTTTGCACCTATGGTAAGGTAAAACTGCATATATCTTGTCACCCCGCACCAGCAATTCTTCAATTCATTACGATGACTAACGTTGTCGCTGTGACTACTGGTACCTTCTGTCAAACCTTACAGAGCTGTGATACTACTTTTTTCAAGACAATCGTCCTCTTCATGAAAGTATATCAACAGTCCTCGGTCGTGCTGCTTGTGTTCTACCTGGCTTGAACATTGGCAGGCGACACCGTGATTAAAATTAAAGTCTTAATTGCTGGAGGTATTTGACAGGTGCCATCCCAACCAACCATGAGCCCCCACGAGTGCTTTTGCAGAGACCTGAGAGGTTTATTGGTGAAGGAGTTCACTCTCCTATCGTCGGCACCGTTCACGACTACGCGATTACCACAAGTTCGAAGTTGTATAACAGATTTCTGTTCGGCAAATTTGTTTTTTTCGTTTCGAAACTATGATGGCGCCTCTTTGTATCTTATCAATAAAAAGAGACGCTTCCGACAACTGACTTCATCGCTGAGAGGCACGCATTCGCAGCGACATCGGTCATCACCCCACAAGTCCTCTTCTTCACATCGCCGTGAACCTTGCCAGAGCGGGCTGCGGCCACGTTGCTTTGCAAAAAACAAAAAAAACAGAAAAGGTTTAACGAGAACAGGAAAAAAACACATCCTGATGGGGCTGAGTTAAACCTGCATTCAAATGCGTAGCAAACCAACTGCGAAACCTGACTCAGAGGTGTGACCGTATCTCTGGGAAATGGATGAGCAAGATATATGGGCTGAACTTCTTTGTGCATTCTATTTGCCACAAGCGAATCAGATCATCGCTTCGGAAGAATCTGAGGTAGAAAGGGCAGCGCTGGAGCTTGGGGTAATTGCACGTCTCTGTCAGTTGGGGCGAACAGAAGAAGCAAACAAGCTTTGGGAGCGTGTGTCTACATGGGGAGACAATTGTGCTTCGTCCTCGAGTGAAGCAAGCAGAACAAAAGAAGCAAACAAGCTTTGGGAGCGTGTGTCTACACGGGGAGACAATTGGACTTCGTCCGCGAGTGAAGCAAGCAAACAACGCTGTTCGCAGAGTACAGATATCAAGCGAAACTGTGAAGAAGGCGAGTGTCCTCCATCTACAAGCCCTAAGGCGACTCGAAGAGTACCTCATCTACATTCCAGTCGTCCTCCGTAACTGGGACATTGCCCACGATCTGTGCTGATAATGCCAGAGCCACCAGTCTGGGCATAGGTTGCCTGCATTTCTTGTAATTAGCGAGGAAAGTGTCGTAGAATCCCATGCCATGCCCGCAGCGAGCGCCATACGCATCAAATGCAACACCAGGCAAAACGACCACGTCAAGTCCGACATCTCGAGGCGCTTGTGCACGACCGGGCTCAAGAGGAGGCTCACGAATGCCCCAACTGTTCGGCGACCAGCTCGCGAGCTCAGATTCGGACGCGACTTCTAAGAATATCATCTCATGTCGAGACTTGGACGTGACGCGCGGAATGAATATCTGCTTCTTCCGCTGAAATGCGTCCGCAAGAAGGAATGACGTGTCGAACTCATGCGGCATTGACGCATACACGGCGATCGTCTGCGCAACCTCGTACTCTGGAGACGCCAGAAATCGTGCCGTCGTCCTGTAACTTTCAGATGATACTTCCGGTTGCGGGAGAGATGATAGTGTCGCTCTGATGTGTTTTCGTAACTCACGCTTGAGTAGCCTGGTTGCAGAAAGATTAGCCATCAGTGGCAAAGAGAGAAAGGACCGAGGTTGTACTGAACCCTTGAGTACAACTTGTGCGAGCGCTACTTCGCAGAATAGTGGTGCTTGTTGTTGAATTTTTGTCCAATTTTGCAATGGGCGTGTACTGTGCACAGCACTATGTACTCTCCGTGATCATCATTGACGAGGCATTTCTCCCACCGAGCTGCAGGCTGAACGATCTGCAAGGCTCTTCAAGGAGATAGGGCGTGGGAGAAGCCAAGAGCACGGACTCCCCGTGGTAAGCAGAGACGAGTATGGAGATGCAAAAAAAAAAAAAAAAAAAACTGCGGCGGGGAATCTTCAGACTTCAGACCCCTCAGTTTCTTACCGAATAACTACTAATACTGTAACTGTTTCCGAGGGCGTCTACCCTACAGCCTCTTCTACATGTACTGTATCCCGATCTCAAGGGTCATATTGACTTAACATGTAAAGTGTGCTTCCCTCCGAAGGATGGCTCTTAATGATCCGTCAAATGAAGGGGCATGAATTCAGGTTCGGTGTTCCGGGTGCGTTGATTCGTGCAAGGACGCTTCCTAAAATGCACACGAGAT